ATTTTTTTTTTGCATGGATAATTCTAGAATTTTAGATAACGAGAAGGAATCTTTTTGTTTTTTTTCTGTTAGTTTTTATTTAGTTTTGTATTTTTGTTATATGAATTAGACTTTCAGATTGGAGAAACAACGAATCATCTTTTCCAACAGGTATTCTCTTTTGTCGTATTAATGAATATGACGGATATAGAATTTTTATTTTACAACGTATTTTCAATGATATTCGTCGAGGGAAGTTTAACGAGTACGCTGTGAGTTCGTTTTATCGTCATACTAAAATATAACGTTATCACATTTTGTACCTTTTTTTTTTCTTGCACTTTTTAAACAATTTTTTTTCTATCTGTCTATCTTGCTTTTTTTTCTTTATTATTGCACCATGCAGATATTTTACACTTTTTTTTTTATTTTATCAAGAAACTAGACACACATACACGTACACATACACATTGATATAAAGAAACTAAGGACAATTGAAAATTTGAATGGGTGGATGGAGTGGGGGAGGGGGAGGGGGGTTGAAATTGAAAACTTAAGTTTCAAGATAAGTTGTGACATTTGAAAATATTATATGTAAGATCGCGTAGTGAAAAGGGGATGATGATGAGGGTGGGAGTGCAGGTGGGGATTGCGAGGGGAAACGTGTTCCCGTTTGTCTTTCATCGTAATAATTGCTTTCTATATTTCAGAGAAAGAAAGAGAAAGAGAGAGAGAGAGAGAGAGAGAGTTAAGTTGAAGGAGTATAGCAGAGAATAACGATATTGGTTCTATTGGATACCGTGGGTACCGGCGTACCGTATCCTGGTACGCCGGAAGGTATTTCAACGAGGCTACTATGAACAGTCCGTATAACAGTAACAACTTGTTGTAAGTTACAGTAAATAGAAATAGATTCTTTGTCGATTCTTTTGTATATTATGTTTACCTCTTTTAATATCATTTCAACGATTAACAATTAATACTTTTTTTTATTATTATAATCTTTCATTCTAGAATTTACTTACATTTATTCGTTTGCTTTGTCAATTTTTTAATTAATGTTACGTTCTTTGAAAGATTGTTTATAGAAAAAAAAAATTAATGATCTTTTTTTTTAGGTTTCCTCTAAAATACTCTAATAGAAATTCATTATTCGAATGATAAGAATTATTCGTCATAGGAGTAACGTTATTCGTAAGTACGTAATATTGATACGTACGTATTAATTCGTAATATTGAAGGGATATTATCAAGTTTTTAAAATTAATAATAAAGATTGTCAATTACTTTTGTAAAACAATAAACCGTAACACCTTTTAGATATTTTCAAAAAAAAAAAAGAAAAGAACTTTTGATCGATTAAACCGTTTTAGATCGTTAATCTGTTAAGAACGTGTTTGAAAATGGTAAGGATGTATTAGGTGCAACAGCAGCAGTAGCAGTATCAGTAGCAACATCAGGTATATTTGAATCGCAAGTAGTCCAACTCAAGATAGATACCAACGATCAATGTAAGAAGAAGGGTGAAGCATTACTTTGAAAGAAGAGAAACGAGGGGATGTTCTCTCAAGCAGTCGCCAAGGATTATCGATGCGATGGCCACGGTAAAAGTTTCTCTTAACTAGTTCTAACACTTCGTGATGGATAGCCTTGAATGTATGTGAGAAAAAGAGAGAGAGAGAGAGGGATGGTGGGGGTCAATGAAGTGAAGGGAAGAAGCTTTTAAACGCGTTCCATATAAAGAATATCGCATGTTGCTTGCATGGTGGTTAAGTCGGAAAGAAAAAAAAAATTTAATATCAGCTTTTTGGTTTGCAAATCGAAAGTTCATTTTAAACTTGTATTTGCGATAACTAATTTAAGAGAATTTCGATTGGTTTTGTGATATACATATATCTAATTTAAATGATATCTTTTGATATATACGATAATGTTATAAATTATTGTATATATGGTTGGATATGTATAGATTGAAATCGAAAGCAATGAATAAGGTATATAACACGTTGATATAAAGATATACAGTTAAATTGATATATATATATATATAAATGGAGCATTCCACGTTAAATCGACCACTTTTGACCCCTACCCTTTTCGATTTTGCTGAAACTTTTTATCATTTTTAACTTCATGTAAAAACTTTGTTTTCTAAAAAGTACATCTAAAAACAAAGAATTAAAAAAAAACGTCCCTATAAGTCTATCTTTGACGAAGTTATAGTTATTTGAAAAAACAATGGAACGAAAATTTTGAGTTTTTGAAAAATTCATAACTTCTTTTGGGCTGGCCAAAAAAATCTGAAAAAATTCTCAAAATGTTTTTTAATAATGTTAAAAATGATAAAAAAAGTTTCAGCAAAATCGAAAAGGGTCGGGGTTAAAAGTGGTCGATTTAACGTGGAATGCCCCATATGTATATATATATGTATAACATGTTACTGATTTTAATCGTAATATAAATTATAATTTCATGGAAAATGTTCGATACGTTTGATACGTTTGATACGTTTGATACGTTCGATACATTTTATTGAACGAATTTAATAAATTGACGAACGAACGGATGAATGAATGAATGAATGAATGAATGAATGAATGAATGAATGAATGAATGAATGAATGAATGAACGAACGAAGTAATGGTTGAACGAATGCAATGGGGGTATTTAATTGGAAGCTTTTGGTTAGTTTCGTTTGTAAAGTGAAAAATGTAAAATAAGTTTATTAGTAAAGAAATTTTTAAATTATTTGGTAAGAGGTTTATTTTGCATCTTTACAGTTCGAATGAAAGAACGAATGATCGAATGAACGAATGAAAGAAATATAACGATCGTTATGGACTTATCCAATGGCACCATCGACTTCGTGGGCAAGAGAATATATATATGTATATATATATAACCGAAGGTGAACATTTCTAACGACACTTTCATACTCGAGTCAGCTTCTATTCCTCACGATTCCCTCTCGATTCCCTTGATGGTACTTATCTCATGAATATTTTATAAAGTTTCGTTCGACCGATACAAGGATCCTCTAGATTAGTTAGCATCGTTCGTGTATCTTACTTAGTCTTAGATTTATATTTTTTTGAAATGTTTTGCTGTATTTTATTTCGATATAAAATGTACATTATTAACCAGTTAACTTTGGCGCTCCGTTTTAAAAGTGCATACTACTGTGTGTTGTAAAAATCGACCGCTGACAAGACGAGGTTAAAATTGCTCATTTTCAGGATAAAATGTACTAAAATTAAAAAAATAATACTAATTTACAAATCTTTAATTTCTTCTTACTTATCTTGAAATTAGAAAATATGTTTCGTTTTTCAAAAATGTTACATTTTAAATAATATATAATCACTACGTTTTATGCATGACGAGTATATTAGTCATGATACAAAATACTGCCACTTCTTCATGACGAATATATTCGTCAAACTTAGTTAACTGGTTAAAAGTAAGATAGCAACAAATACGATTCACAAGCATGATTTACATATGACTTTCGCATACAATTTTCACGTATAATATTTGATATCTTCGAACATATGTTATTTAATAGAATATGTTTTGTTGTTTTGTAAAAAAGAAAAAATAAAGAATTGCATCTTTCGTGCATTTTATTCGCGATTTATATTTTCTTTAAATGTTTTGGTATTATTTTGACATAAAATGTTTATATTATTAAAAGTAAAATATTAACAAATATGATTCACATACGATTGGCATATGATCTTTGATATCAAATACATTCGATAGAATTTTCGTAACCCAAAAAAAAAGAAAGAATTTTTTAATTCAACGTTGTTAAAGTAGCATAACTTTAGCGCCGATTTTTTATCCAATTTTCTGAATCACGCCAGTTTATAATTTAGTCATTGCATACTTAACAATTCAGAATACTCTCTCTTCTACTTCAAAGAAAAAAGATTTAATTTTTTTATTCGATTGCATTTCATTTATTTCTTTCATTTCATATATATATATATATATATATA